GGCAAAATGCTTGAAATTGATAAGGCTGCCTTTTGTATACATATCCGTATGTGGGTGCCTGTATGTGTAGAAAAGTGGGGGAGTCTCTGCGGGTTAGCATTTTTAGCAACCACAAACCTCCTAACTTCCCATTTTAACACATTTTTTTCGTGGCGAAACGTAAAGTACACTTTATAAACGTGAAATATATTAGAGGTTCTTCTAATTAAATTGCTTTTAAAAATGTAGAAACTTTAAATAAGGCTGCTATTCTTGATTTATACATGTCTTAACACAAATTCCTTTTCTTATATCAAAGATCGTTTAGGAATATATGATTTATATTTAAACTGCAAATGAAAAGATTTTATTAGAATCAAAGGAATTGGCATACAGTTATCAAAAGCTTTTATTATGTATACAAATTTTAAGCCGATAGAGGAATCATTGCATTTTTTATTATCATAGATACCGATATATACTTTTAAGATTTTAGATTGGTACAAAGTAATTCCTTTTAAAAGAAAAAAGAATATTTATAAAATTTTCTTCGCCAGTGACCAAAGCTTCCTTTTTTTTTATTCCCCCTAGTAAGGGAATGGTGCAGAAAGCAAAGCAGAAGGAAGCCACAAAAATGGTTGAAAATAAAAATTTAAATTGTCTGTTTGTCTGGTTTTCTTAAATATATTTGACAAACTCACACATTCACACACACAGGAAGAGAAGGCATACCTTCGCGGGTGCAGAGATTTGTATATTGACGCCCCTTAACACATCACCCCCATTGTACATCTGATATTTAATGATTATTTGTTTGTCTGGTTGCTGATTCTGACTTCTCTTTTGTTTGCTTTCTCTCACCGACAGATTGGATGAATCTCTAACGTCATGGTATGAAGGAGCCCACGAACACTTTGGATGAAATTGTAAGTGCTTCGGCTAATCAGTGTCTAGAGCCACAGAGTTCAGCTCCCTGTGTCACATAACCAAGGCGGAACCGCATCACGAACATTAAAATCTACTGGGGAAGAAAAAAACTCGGGGAAATATATGCGAAAAAGTCAAGACAATGCAACTGACACATAATGAAAGTGAAGTGCGGGGAAGTTAAAGCCAAAAAGTTTTACGGTCGGGGGAAGTCTGGTCTGCTACACTGAAATTAAATTATAAAACATGAAACAATTTAATAAGTTAAAAGTCCGAAAAGATTGATATAGTTGTATTTCAACGAATTAACACTGGGGAAGCCTTTACGATACTATTTAATTTTTTTAACAATTCATAATAAACATAATTATTTAATATTTGGAACCTAATCAATTTTAAACCATAAACAATTATTTTTAAATGTATTTACAAGATATGAGTCTTTTAATATTAGGTTTATAACTTCATAATTTTTAGCTGTGCAGAAAAATTGCACGCAGTTGGCGGTTGGAAAACGAAGAAAAGTTGAAAATGCAAAGCAATCTAAATAAAATGTCAGTCCCGCAAGTGCCGGCAGGTGGCGCCACCAGCGGGGGGAGTGGGACAGAAAGACAAATGGAAAGGGACAACATGTGAGCCACAACATGGGGGCAACAACAAACAATAGATATAGTTGTGCCCAGACTTCAAAGTATTACCCAATGTTAAGTTTTGCTTGGTAGGGAATGGGGGAGGGAGAAAAAGTGGGGGACGTCGCCGTGTCAAGCGGTAATTGTTATGTAAATGAGTTTTACAATTTTTGCCAGCCAAAAAAGGTCACCAGTTGAAGGGAGCCACTGTGGCTTAGGCCTGGTCGACAAATTTCAGCAAAGTCAGTCAGCAGTTTTCTGCCGCCCGATGAGGACAAACAAAAGTTTTGTTTAGCTTTTGTTTCGATGCTTTCGCTTTTCGCTGCATACAAATTGTACCTCGGTAGAACCGAAATACCCTACCTATACCATATTGTCTTCGTTGCCTTTGTGTGCAAGGGTAGCTCTTTATAAAATTGCAAATCAGTTTGAAAGTCAACGATAACATTTTGTTGTGGTCCTCCAGCCAAAGTGCTTTCCTTGTCTTTGCCTCTTAAGCACTTTCAATTATTTTTTTTTGTGCAAACATACGAATGACTATGAATTTATTTTTGGCTCAAAGTTGGTCTTTCAGGCATTAAGGTCCAGCAGACACATTGGAAAGTTAATAACCGTTTAGTCAAGTTAAGGAGAAAGGAATTTCGAATTTTCCTTTTTCTTTTCTAAATGCTTACACGCAGAAAAAATGAATATGATATAGGTAAATCTAGTTTATTGTATATAAACATATAACCTTTCGTATATTTTCTCATTCTCAGTCAAGCCAATAAGTCAACAATAATAATTTGGTTGTAGTTCATTTTATAGTTATTTAATAATTCAACAAAATATTTAAAAATATATATTTTTTAAATATTTGTCTTGTTATTATTAAGTAAATTTTTAAAATATAGGGTTGCAGCTGAGCATTATACTCTCCCTTTGTACAATATAACTTATAAATTCCGATGAAGAAATAGTAACCTTCGGGGGTTTGCTTACTTTACATAAAATTACTTAAACTTCTAGGAACTCCAACTTCTTCGTCGAAATTTGCCTAGGAAAAAGGCATCATGATGGGTGCCTTTTCAATTAGCAATTTATTCAATTATTTATTTGAAAAGTGGCCCTCTTAAAGGCCATAACTAATATTGGAATTTCCCCTGGCGGCGCCACCCACCAACTGTCCCCTGTTTCAGCAATATTTGTGTTAACCTATTTCCTTAAGTGCAACGTCAGCTTGGCATTTCGCAACTTTTGTTGCTGTTTCCTGGAGGGAAATATAAATGCCAGGCCATGGCAAAAGACAAACACCAACAACATAGACACACACACACACACACCCCCCCATACTTATACGCGGGCGAGAGTCACGCACACACAGACACTCCACTCACACACCCAAAGGCACACGCACACATATGGCCAGCATGCAGATGTGACAGAGTGGGACTTGAATTTTTAATGCAAGGCAACAACGATTCTCAGAGGCATATTTACATTCCGGCTCAATGTCAATTGTGTTTATAAATTAATTTGCAAAAAGACAAATGTACACATGGCATTGGAACAGACGGTGACGGTGACGGTGAGAGGGTGAGAGGGTGAGAGGGTGCTGCTGCCAAACAAGCACGCCTTTTGTTTAGAGGCCATTAAGACCAGGGAGCCATGGGCCTCTGTTCGACTGCCAGTGTCAGCTCATGTGGAGCACCTCCGGCTCCCGAATCTCTACAGGTTGCTGCCTCCTGCTGCTGACCCCCGACGCATTGTTGTCTCGTTCTCTGCAGGGTACCTTGTTAAGGGACCCATTCTTATAGCTTCGGTGCCCATTTCCGTACCCAAACGCGTGGCCGTACCTCAGCTGGCGTGACAGGTTGTTGTCGTCGTTAGATGTTAGACGCATGCTTTTGTTTCTTTTCGGTGTCCTCATACCCCGGGACAAAGACAGCACACTGGCAAAAATACGGCTTGCGATTCTACAAATACATACATACGTATTTTTAATTGAGAATCAAAATAGCATTTGGTAGTAGAGAAATAAATAAATTTTTCAATTTTGAAACCTACTTCTTTCTTTTTCATATATTATATTATATAAAATGTTAACACAACACGTAACTCTGGTTCCTAAGACCAAAATCACTCATACGACACGTATTGCAGATATTTGGGCCATAACCAAAAATAGCTTTTAGCTGTGAACTACTGTTAACTTATCCATTTTTATTTTAAGAAACGTATATAATATTCATTATATTCATTAGTGTGTACGTATTTTGATCTGACAAATTAAATTAAATCATTTAACACGGATTAGAAACATTAAGCTGAATATATCAGCCAAAATAAACTTTTTGCTAAAGTAATTAAAGGTTATTGTAAATTAAAAATGTGTTTTAATAATTAAAAATACTTTAAAACTTGTTTTTCTGTGCATAAGCTGTGATGAGCCAATGCCAGTGTCGTAAATATTTGCGCACAAAAGTCGGCAATGATTTGATGCACAGGCACACAGGCAGCTGGCTAAGCTGAAACTAGCTAAGCAGCCAACACACTCCTGCAAAAAGAAAAAAAAACTGCTTAACCCGATAAAGGGGTGGCATGGGGAGGCGGCTAATTTGCGCAACAGAATGACAGGCTGGGGCAGATATAGTACAGTGGGGCTTAACATGCCTCCAGCAGCTGGAAGCGATAAGCTAAAGTCAAGGCGAGAATAACCAAGTTTCGAATTAACAGATTCTCTTTATTTCTATAAACCTCAGTCACATTTGAAATACATTTCTTTAAATCTGTCATAGTAGTTAATTCATTTTTTTACTCATGAACATTTTTACAGAATATAGTTTTTCCTTTAGGTATTCATATAATCTTTATTTTATTTTTATTTTTAATTTAAACATACTTGCTACAATTTTGTTAAGCTGCTTTCTTGCATAATAGACATGAAATAAAAGCTTTTTAGGTTATTTTTCATAAATTTCCTATTATTAATGCTTCAAAGAGAAACAGCTTAAAGTACTATACTGATTAAAAATTCCATTAGTTATTGAACGTCTTTTCTAGATAACGTAATGTATTCGCCTGTCGTTTTGGCATAATGGAGACGTTCTATCAGCACAATAATCAGCAAATATATTTGTTGCTGCTTCGCTCGCAAGCATGCTTGGTGCTCATATGCGAATTTAATCCTTAGTCTTTCAGTGGGATAATACCCCAGTAGAACTGCAGCGACGCACGCACTTCCGTGCGGCATCTTCAGCAATTTGGCAATGCAAGTGAGCAAGGCCACCCATATTTGGGGACCACCACCCAACCACCCAACCACCCAAGACACCCAACCACCCCATCCACCGAACCATCCACACAGCTGCAGTGGTTCGGCTATTGGTCGTTCGGCTTTTCCTCGGACCTTCAAAGGTTTCGGCTTCTTTTTGCCGCCCGACGAACTTCGTTTTCGAATTCAAAGCAGCGGCAGACGTCGTACCGTTCAGTTCTGTTATTCAGTATTCCCAGTCAGTTGTGCTTTGGCTGGCGGTCGCGACAGTTGGGAGCTAACGCGATATTGCCGGTTGGTAACGTCGTCGTAACGTCGGTTCGGCCTCCAATAACGTAACGTAACGTAAACAATTTGTTTTGAGGGGGCGGCTCGTTTGGCGCATTTTTTCGTGAGTTATTAAAATGCGATAAAAGCCAGTGAATCGGTAATAAAGCGCTTATCTGGGCCCGCAATTACGAGCCAGAAAAGGGCGGGTGGATCGCGCGTTGGCGGTTTTTCTGGTGGCGACAAAGCAAAAAAAAAAAAAAAAAAAATTAGAAGCAAATATCAGAAGCAGCAGCCGGCTGTTTTCTCCAATTACTCGCGGGCCCTGTGAAGTCAATTGTGTGCTGGCCCGCATCTGTTACAAATTTCTTTCCAGGCCGGGAGTCATTGGGCCAGTACCAAACACCACCCGACCAACTGTCACCATTCCACACATCCGCCCATCAGCGCCTAAATGTATGCTTTAGTGCGTCCGTCTGTCTGTGTCTCTTTTAGTTAATAGTTGTCTACGTGTGTGGCATATTACAAACGCACACATTAATGCGAGGGACCGACAAACACAAGCACACACACATACTGACAGCACCCACCTCGCAGGTGGGAGCGTGTTTGTTTTTCTTGGCTTTTAGCTTCCGCTGCGGGCTATCTCGAAAAGCATTCAAAGTATCTTTCGGATGTGCCACTTGCCGTTCTTCGATGTGTGTGTCAGCGCTGGTGTGTGCTACTTTTGGGTGTTTATGGCATTTAAATCAATAATGTCGCATGCCAACGACTTGGCCACCGCTCTTTCACTCGTTCACTCCTTTTCGCCTTTTGCCACTCACTCCCGTCGCGAATGCAATTTGTGCGGATTTGTTGCCTCCATCTTGCTGAAGTGCACCCGCCTACGTTGCAGTATTATAAAAAGGTGACTCAGTGGTATAAGCACAACCTTCCTCTTCCCACACCCCACACCCCCCACCTTTAGCTGGCCTGAATTTGCTTAATGAGCGCAGCCTGGCCGCAGATACTTTGCACACACTTATTTAACGCTCATACGCCCTGTTGGCCACCCTCATTTTCGGTTCGCCGGGGCCAAGGGCAGGCGGCTTTTGTTGCTTAGGATTGCAGCTGCTTTTTTCTTTAATCTTATTTAAGGGGCATTGAAAAGACGCCAGGGTTCAGGTCAAATTTGTATAAAAAGATGCCTCTCAACCTCGCTTCCTGGCCAGTTTTGTGGCATTTTAATTTGCTAAGCGTGTCCGACTAAATTTACACAAAGCTGCCACAAACTCAATTTACACAGCTACAATTGCCGGGCGAAAAGCTAGAAAGCGAGAATGCGAGTAAGCAAGAACTTAGGGTTGCAACATTTCTGTCAAATGTGTAAAAACTATTATTCCACAACTCCAACTCCAAGTAAATGGCAGACATCACATCATCATGAGGGCCATTGGATGGCTTGGGACATTGGGACCACGTCTCCTCCATGAATTTGTTAATTAAGCTTAATGTGCAATTAAAGCTTCAAGGAATGCGAACCCAACTTTGGTCAGGTCCATGCTGATTTAATTTGAATTTCGGTTAAGCCGGGAGTCTGAGTTAGGTGCCAGAAATTACGTTGAATGTCCTCCACATGTTCCGCATTCTCTTCGGATGCTCTTTTTGTTAGGGCACCACATTATCTTAGGCTCATAAATTCAACCCATTTTTTGTTTGGCTCCCCGTACGTACATACACTTATAAGAAGAGCCCATCAGTTTGAGGTAAATTTCCCAAAAGGGTCGTAAGGCTCAAAGATGGAAAACTTTTAGATTACCTGCCTGTTTGGAAAAAAAATGAGCAAACTTGGACCTTATCAAAGGTGTAAAGTTCAAGTCATTTGGTTGCTTTTTCTTCAGCAATTAAGCACCAATTGGATGATATCATTTTAATGACTTTGAGAGGGCTTAATTAACTTTGCTTTTAAAACTTTAAAGTTGCTGTAACAAAATTGGAAGAGATATTTCGCTTACACTTCATAAAATACGTTTTTACCTATTTGTAGTGGTTCTGTTAACTTGAATCAATTAATTTCATTGCGAATCTTAAATCGCCCTATCAATTATTGAATGTATTTTCGGATTTACCACTCACGAAATCACTTTGCTGACCACCGGATCTCGATTTAGCCCCATTTAGCTTCCGTTTGGACCATTTCCCCTTCGTGCAGCTGTGCGGCGACTCCTACTTTTCCTAATGCCCAAGTCCATTTGCTCTTGGCACTTCACTAATCTGTCCATTGTGAGACATTGAAAGTGGGCGGCAGAAAGCCTAGCCACGCCCCCTGTCCCCATGGCTCTTCATAACTGCTTGTGTGCGTGTGTGTGTGTGGGAGGCGGTGAATTTACGACCACAGTCAACACTCATGGTTAACTCATGGTCAATGAGCGGGTTCACGAACTTCCGAGCACAGGTTGTTCGAGGGGGCGGTGAAAAGTCAAGACAGAGGAGAAACGATGGTTAGGGCGGTGGGAGGTACGTATTATACACCAGAGAGCATCCTTCACGATTACTTAATATTAATGACTCCAGGCTGTGTGGTCACTCGGTGGCCATTGGTCGTGGTCCCAGGTCTGTTCGGCCTTTCCATTGCACAGCCTTACTTATTTTCACTGCCTTTGTCTCATTTATATGCACAGAGAAATAATCAAATAAATAAAATCTGAAATTGGGCTGCCAATTTTACACCCTTGAACATAAAGTTTTGTTTATTATTATTAAAATTGTAATTATAGAGTTTTAGTCATTTTTAAATAATTATGGGTGAGTTAATCATCCCCCAGAGACTTAAAATAAATTCAAAGTTGTATAATTACCAAGAAATCCACAGGGAAAAGTGTTACATGATTCTTTAATTAATTAATTTATCTAAAAAATATTTTAATATGTCTCAAAATGGAAACTATATTTATAAATCAAATTATTTTAATTATTGAGTTAGCATTTGATTTTTGTAACAATATAAAACCATAAATACATACAGATTAAAAAACTGCAAATTTCCTTGGAATCCATGAATACAAAAACTATTGTTTTTTCTGAGTGGACCCCTGAGATCCTTGCGCTGATGTCGCAAATCTGACATCGCCGTCGATGAAAAACTTTGCCGCTTTGGTCTTTTGTAATGAATGCCCTTTTATCTGTATTAGTTTATGTGTGGCAGAATGGGAAACCCGCCTCCCTCCCTCCGCGGCCAAGGCCAGAATCAACGGTTTATCTTGGCCCGGCCCATTGTGTTCGAGAGTCGTTGCTGCTGGGAATATTTGCTTAAGCTGATTTAACTACATTAACTTGATTAAATAAGTATTAAACAGTGCAGGGGAAGGAAAGTGTTCGCCTACAGATGCGGGAATGCGGGCGTTTAGCTCATCTCCTCGACTTCCCACTCACTTTTTTATAGGTTCTATTGATTGATTTCGAATTACAATAAATGTTTTGCCGCCACTGCTACCAGTTGTTTCGCCGGAGGCAGTAAAAGAGTTCAGAGTTGTCTCTTCATCAGTGGTGGAAAGTGCTTACAGTACATTTTACCCCAGTAATAGAATCCAACGCTAGTATTAGTTGTTTCATATATATACAATTTTTCTTTTAAATTTAAAGTTTATTGTCACTTTAGTAGCATAAAACTTGTATTTAAATTTCTTCATTTTGAAATAACTAAACTCAATTCCTTTAACAAGTGAAAATAAATCATATTTTCTCGTGAAATGAAATTCTTTTTCCATCACAATTGTTTTGCTTTCATCCTAAGTAGAGTAATACAAAAAGTACCTTGCTCATCTCTGCCTTTTGAAAGCCACAATCCTCAATCTGCAGCCCACAATCCAGTGATTTTGCCCGCCAGCTGTTTGCTTTTGCGATAGAATGTGGCTCAATTGTTGTTCGAATCAAATCGGTTAGAACAACACTATTGCTTTGGACTCCTCAGCCCACACACGCACATTGCATAAATAGTTTGATTGTGACACGGATTGAGATTGCTAGCCGTTTAATGGCCAAGTAATTAACATTCCCAGGGCGCTAAGTTGAAGCCATTTTGGTCAAGTCAAGGTCAGGGAATGCAATTTAGACAGTTTTCGGCTCGTTCTGGGTGGCGGATTCCCATGATGGCTATACATTCTTGTTGTGACAGAAGCTGCAGCAAAACCGAAAGACAGAGGAGCGGAGGGAACGGAAAATGGCAAATAGAAAATAGAAAATTCTGCTTTTATAACTTTGTTAGCGCTCAGTCTCTCGCTCTCTAATTCAGGGAAATGGAATGCGGAAAGCGTAATTTAATGAAAAGTCATCAAAGCAATGCACCAGAGAGATTGCGAATCCAAACTTTTCGATTTCATTAACCGAACACTGTCGGACCACTAAAAAAACCATTTAAACAAGTCAACCATTAAATTTTGCTTTATTTATGCAAAGTGGAAAATCTGTTTTGCTCGTAACGCTGTCCTGCCGCCTTTGTGGTCATAAATATGGAGCATAAAAAATTATAACATATTATTACGGGCGGCAAATTAATGCCATCATCGGGCCGCAAGCAAATTGGTTCCGAAGCCCATCTGAATAATTGCCTATGAATCTGTCGCTCGACATCTGCTCTGCATGTCCGCTCGGCTGGCCAATTGGTAGTTGAGTGTCAGCCAGGATTAGGCCACTCCTTTCTCCTTGGTTGTCTGCCTTTCCTAGTATTTCGTCTGACAGCTCTGGAAATGAGCAAATTTTTTGGGTCGTCATTCAAGTTAATAATAAACAGACACAAACAGAACCACACAAAAACACACACAAACACACACACACACACGTCAAGGACATTTGAACAACAGAAAGCACGGTTGGCGAGAAGGAGAGGTCCTGGGAACCCAGCAAATTGCGCTTCATTTATTTATAATAATTACAACTGTAAAAAGTTTTAAAAGTCATTTCGATGGTAGCGGCTGCCAGGGTCTCCAACTCAAGTATGCAGGCTAATAGGTCTGCAGAATGGGAAAAAGGGACGAAGGACGTAGGACGTAGGAGGAGCCAACTATGTCCAGTCCTGAATAATGAATTCCGTGAGAAATTGAACTATTATTTGCCGGGGCAATCGGGGCAATCGGGGCCATCGGTGGCATCGGGGGCTGCCAGGAATACTTTGTTACCGGGCAA